TTGCAGTATTGTCCAAACCTGAAAAACTGCAGTTAATCTTCACTGTAGTAATTGGAGACAAGCCCCAGTCAGAACTTGTAGATTATGTAGCTCAACTGTTTTCCCTAACTTTAGCTAAGATTAAGTGTACTTTAGGGTTTAGATGTCACACTAAACTGCAATTACATTAAACAGGAAGTGAAAGCAATATGCAGAGATGGAGGGGCAACAAGTGGTGTTAAATCACGTCTTAGCATTATTTATTTTATTTTATATGTATTTATTACATTTATATTCCTCCCTGTTCTGCATTTGCAAGGAATCCAAAGAAGCTTACATGATCTTCCTCCTCTTAGCTTCTCCATTTTTATTCTCACAATAAAAGGGCAAATTATTATGAGAGCTAGACTGAGAGTCAGTGTCTGGCCCAAAGTCACCCAGCAAATTTCATGGTTACAGCAGGAGTACGACCCAGGTCTCCTGTGGCCCAGGGCTACACTCAGACCACTATACCACACTGCCTTTCCTATGCTACACTCGGTCTCAATGCACTACTGAGCTGCTAAAGCACAAGGCTCCTGCATAAAATCTTATAGTCATGAATTCACCAGTGAACTTAGGCAAAGCTTTCTCAGTCACCTTCCGCATTGATGCGGTAATAATGCAGCTTTTGACAGGCATGCTGTAAGGATTGCTACAATAATATATACCGCATCCATTGAAAAGTAATAATAACAATAACAATAATAGCAACAACAACAACCTTACCAACTCTGTTGTCAGATATAAACTTTCTGTGCCCTGGAGCTTGCAGTTTTGAAGTAGCTAGTAATTGTTAGTATATAATTCTGGTCAGGAATACACACAATTTAAAGTCGTTCTATACCTAATTTATTGGTACATGGAGAACTTAGTAAATAGAATTTCAAGAGGGGTAGAAGTCTAGTTAATTAAATGTTCAATAAGAACATTTCGTACACTTTATAAAAAGAACACTGCATTGTCTGAAAGAACAACATGGAGGGAAAAGATTAATATTATCTGTGATTTCTGTGAAGGAATAATTGCCACGGTCTAATGTTGTTAAGCCTCAAATGGTATACACAGTGTATCTAGACTTTCTGTGGAAGACCTTGTTATGTGTAACGCTGTGCGAATAAGACAGGAAAGAAGGGGGTTATAAATTGGTAGAGAAAGTGCTTATTGTACATAACCACTGGAAGCAAGGGAGGAAAATCTGAACAGACAAAAGTTCAACGCCAGAGTTCTGTAGTAATTTCTGAAAGCTGCTATAAGGCAATATGTAGGCTGCCTGTTTTCTTGAATATACTGAATATTACTGTCATAATCATAACGGTGAGAAATGTAGCATCTTTTTGTATTTAGCACGGAAAGGTCAAAATGATTATAGGCTAGTAAATACTTGTGCAGAGCCTTCCCAAGCAGTTTTAAAACAACCATGATGGGCCACAAATCAAAGGGAGCCACCTCAGCAAAATATCTATCAGCAAATGCATACAAATAAAGCTAAACAATGCAATAAAATGCTGTAGAAGGAATATAATCAAGTTGGTGTTGCTGCCCAGAATAGGACTAGCTGGGAAGTATGGTTTATTGGAAGCAAATTCTGCCTAAGCCAAGAAAGGAGAACTGAGTTGCTGCGAGTTGACTTGGTGCTCCCCACCTGGACTTCCGTGGGTTGGATAACATCACAGGGCATAGGCAAATACCTCTGAAAAGATCATTCTTGGGCACCAATGTCAAGCCTGTTTCATTCCCACCAATTCCTCCACAGTGGGAGAAGACACAGGGTATGCTGTTTACCTTCCAAAAGGAGAAGGAAAGTAGCATGCTAGAGAAATCCCACAGTCACTGATCCAAGGTCACAGGGGGCTTTCTCTCCCTACCCCCTCTCCAAGCCTCCCCAGAAATTGGACAGAACAGGAGGATGCTGGGCCCTTTCCAAGTCCCCAGTATAGTTCTGGGGACAGGGCTTGGATAGCAGATGTGTCAGAGCGTGTTTGAGTGGGGAAGAGGACCGCGATCGTGTTCGTGCAGGGACGATGGCTGCATTTGTGTTCACAGGAACACAAATGCGGCCATCTTCCCCACTCTGACATGTGGTTGCAGCTTCCTCTAGTTGAGATCACGGTTGCAGACTCTCCCTCCAAACAATAACCTCCTCCCCACCCTCCTTCCTGTCCTCCACGCCAGAAGTCGCCTCAAGCAAGGTTAGTGTTCTCTCTCTTCATACTCTCCTGTATTGTACTTTCTTTCATATTTTTGTGGTTAAAAAATTACATATGGTTCAGAACAGAGTAAGCTTATTTACATTGAACCTCATGGGGAAATCTGACCCCATTTGCAACCAATTCAGTTCGCGACCAGAATCGTGAAATGCATTAAGTTCGTGAGCCAAGGTACCACATAAGCCTGTATTTCTGGACTCAGTAGTGCAAGGATAATGCACACAGCTAGAAGAAGACCATCATTTATGCTATTTTTTGTCCTATAATATAGGGTTATTATATAGTGAAGGGGACACCTATTTGACCCTCACATGCAGGATCAAGTCATGGGCTGAGTCCCTTCCCACACCACTTTTGATCCAACTGGGATATGCAAATGACATAGGAAAGAGAAACCCGAATCAGATGCAGTTTGCAGAAAATGATTCCTGCAAGAGTTGAGGAAGTCCTTTTTTCATGGTTTTCTCTGCAGGAATGACATTGGGTGATGCTGGATGACATTGTAGGATGGGGTTGGGGCAGAGCCTCACCTTGTTGATGACTTTTGGCCCACTGGCTGATTCTGGGAAGAACAATCCAATCCCTGGAGCAATGGAAGCTGCCCACCTCTTTCCTATATGTATGTATCCCTAATTATTTATTGTATGTAAGCCGTCCCAAGGCTCATGTGAATGGGACGGCATACAAAAATTATAAATACATAAATAAATAATTCTATTCCCCCACATACCACAGTCACATGGGCTGTCTTTTAAATGGTTGAGTCTGCTTTCTGATGAGGCAGATAGATGGATGGGTGGGTGGATGGATAGCTAGAGGTAGATAAAGATATTTGCAAAGCATTCTTAGCTGATGAATTGAAATCACCCATTTTGATGTTAATGGAATAGAATCAAAATTATTGTGGTGTCCTGTCATGTCAACCTGGCTCAGAAAGAAAGTATAACATGAATAGGAAAGACATATACACACTGGTATATATGACTGCTGTGATTCCTGCAGGTAAATGTGCCAGAATGGGCACAAGAAATGGTAGAACAGGTCACTGATACAAGAATCGGTAGAATTATGTGTTCCAGGATGCGCATATGCTTTCGGTTCACATCAGAATTCTGTATAGTCACAGATGGACACAAGCTGAATGCCACTGCGTACAAGATATGCAGCAATGGCATCACTCACAAGACCCCATCATGCCTCTGTGGTTCATTACACACACAATAATGTGAGCATTACATTCCTAGGGGGTTCACCTCTTTATGAATGAATGAACTAATGTATACGATTGGGGCAAAAAGGATCTATCCAATGGGACTCTATGGTTACTACATTAGAGCAGAAACACACATGCACTGCTGAACATTCTTAGCAGACTGCACAAAATTCCTCCAGTGCTTTGAAAAAAGGGAACTTGGCACCCTTGACCACTTCACCGGAAGGCCTGCTCTGGGCATGGCTGTGCTAGCATGCGCAGCAAACCCACACTGAAAGTAACTGCCATAGACAGAAGTGATGCGTGTGAAGAAGCATGTGCTTTTCTACGTAGTCAGCATAGCCCGTTGCTCCCAGCAATGAGCAAGTAGCACAGAGGCCAAGGGACAGAATTAAGTAAATCAGTCACATGCAGGTTTAAATTATATACCATGGTGATGGGAACCAGAAAACCATGAACAACTTTAAGGCAATGTATCGATGCAGGAACTGAAGAACAGCTGCAGTTTCTTTAGAAGATCACTGGCTTTACTATCTGAGTTATATAGGCATCTAATCAAAGATCAGAGTTTTGCATTAAAAAGTAGAAATGGGAAAAATGGCATTTCACAAAAAGTTATTATATAAAGGACTTTGGGTTCTCCTATCTTCTTTTCCTACCATGATTCTGCCCCAAATTTTCTTTGTGTGTTACTGTGTATTTCTTCCTTGTGCTCATTCTGAGCAAGCCACTTTTGGAGAGGGCTACCAACATTTGGATTGGCTGTTTTATTGTTTACTGTTAAGCAGAACAAAAGGGAAATGTTAAATTTGAAGTGGTGTATATTGCATGCCACATTATTTAACACATCTCTGTTCTGCAGGGCTGTGCTCATGAATAGAAAGGCAATTAGTGACTCACCCCGCTCATGAATGATCTGTAACATCTTGCCCTAAGTTGGCTTCCTTCTGAGATACCTAAAGCCAGTTTCATGCTATAGAATCATAAGTCATGGAGGCACTTCATAGCCAATCCCCATATTGTGGTGGTAGTCTAAAATCGCATTAATTTCAGTGGCTCTACTCTTTGCAGGACCAAAATTGGATAGTAAATGTGCATGAAGCTACACATTTGACTGCAGTAAATGTGTAGCTTCATGGAAAATCACTAAGTCTGCAGTATATTGTTATCAACAATGTGATGTGGCTGCAAAAGAGGCAAATGCAATTTTGGGCTGCATTACTAGAAATATCACTTCCAAATCACATGAAGGACTAGTTCCCCTCTTCTCAGCACTGGTTAGGCATCATTCAGTTCTGGGCATCCCAGTTTAAGAAAGATGCAAACAAGCTGGGAAAAGTTTCCGAGGAAGGCAACAAGGATGATCCAGGCACTGGAAATATCACCCTAGGAGGAGAGATTGAAAGAACTTAATACGTTTTGCCTTGAGAAGGGAAGGCTGAGGAGAGATATGATCAACTCTCCAAGTACTTGAAAGACTGTCACACAGGAAGGACAGAATCTCTTCTTGATCATCCCAGAGTGCAAGACATGGAATAATGGAGTCAATTTACAGGAAGACAGATTCCAGCTGAACATCAGGAAGAACTTTCTGACTGTAAGAGCAATATGACAATTGGGTGAAAACACTTCACAAATGGGGCAGAATTTGCCCCTTAGAAAGAATATCCTGAAGATGGGAGAGATTGTGAGTGGATGACGTGAGATTCTTTAGCAATCTATGGTCAGATGTTAGGGGAGAGCGACTTCTGCCATGGCCAGCTCCTGATTGCTTTTTAGGCATGCATCAGATGCATGGTGACACAGGTTTCCACTCTCTCCCCAGCCGTTGCACATGATATTCAGCAGACGTGTCGAAATGGGATGAAGTGGCCTTCTGTACGCAGGGATGGGTGCTTGTCATTGTTCTTCACAAATTTAGAAAAGGCGCTTTGCTGAGCAATTTACCTTCCTGCCATGCTCACCTTGAGGGTATGCAGCTAGTGCCAGGTGAAAGTGAATAAGACCTAGGCTGCTATAGCAGAATACTGCATTGTACCACTTCAGGCAGTGGGTTCAGAATCCCTTTTAGAAATTTTATTGAAACACTTCTTTGGGTAATGAAAGAAAAAGAAGGAAAATGAGTGAGCTCATCATCCAGTAGCTGTTCTTTCCAGCTGTGACAGCTTTCTACTTGCAGGGAGCCATTTCCTTGAGAGAGCATCCCAAAAGGTGACACCTCCCCTACAGCTCAGTCAACAAACGCAGGACTTTAGCTCTTCGTTTCCACCACGCTGTGTGGCATGTGTAGATCAGGCCTCCATTGAATGCCCTCGGCTGTTCTGCTTGCTCTTCTCCTGATTATTGAACACTGAAGTGAAGCAAGGGGGCTGCCAGATGCAACAGGAGTATGTGTGTGCCAGAGGGGAGTGTGAGGGAGATGTGATTTCTTTCTTTCTTATTCTCTCAGTCTTTGGGTTCTGGGCCTGGCCGGTTTCCTCTGAACCTTTCAATCTGCCTGCTGTGTGCTCTTCCTTTTCTTTGGCTACCCTTGGCTATTGCTCAGTTTCTAGACAGAGCGGGGGACAAGGTGCAACCCTTTTTGGGAATCACATCCTTTGTCACTGAAGCCTTTTGTCCTAACCCCAAAAGGGTAGGGCATTTGTATCCTCCAGCAGTGAAAGAAAGACATTTTTGCATTCAGTGCTATCTCCAAGGTCAATATTTATTTTTTATTTATTTATTAAAACATTTTTATGCCGTCCCATTCGCTGAAGCCTTGGGGCGGCTTACAACAATAAATTAAATAATAATAATCATAAATTAAAAATGTAAACCTTAGAATAAAATACAAACATACAATATAAAATAAGCCGCCCTGGCCAGATAAAATTCAATAATATGAACATTTAAAATGCCGCTTAAATATAGGGCTGCCAACCTTTCTCCTCTGTGTACTTACAACTCCTGTCCATTTTTAAATGGTGAGGCAGGTAGAGTATCACCTTCTCCACCACTTACCACTACAACTTATCCCTGCTATCAAACTTCGCTTGCCAAATAGCTGTACCTGATGCAGGTGTTGTAGGCACATAGATCTTTTCCAGGAAAGAAGCAGGTAGCCCTCTAGGTACACTCCATGTAGCAAAGAAAGCTGGTTCTGGCTCAGGTCATTCTCGGCATGAATGTAAACTCATTAACTTTAGGAGTTTCCACAAATTCAGTGGCACTTTCTTTGAAGTAATTCTTCTTAGAATTAGTAAATCTTCTGGAAGATTTAGGGTCCTAGTCAGATCCATTTAAACTGATGAACTGTGGTTAAAAAGTAGAAAAGTGAAACCCATTTTTGTGGTTGAAATAGATTAAAATTATTATTTTAAATCTCAAGATGATCATTCGTGACATTCAGGGAGCAGAATATTCAGATCAGCAATGTATGCAAAGCGTATGGAGGCTGTTCTTGCAAACCACCTTCTCCCAGCTCCCACACAAGAGTGCAGCTACTTTTACCCTGTAATTAGTCTTGGCAGGTACATGACCTCATGATTTCTAATATGGTGTGGACTAGGAAAAGAAGAGGTGGGTTGCTGAGAGTTCATTTACATTTCACCTTCACTGCATAGCTTGCTCTCAGACATATAGGATATTCCCGCCTCCCCTCATTAACCTTGCACGCCATGCAGCTCTTTCTCCTGAAAAGTATAAAAACATTACAAGGTTAATATGGAAATGTAGGTTAAAAATGTTATATGCCACCAGGAAAGGCCAGGAATTGCTTGGCTGCTACCAAGGGAGAAGACAATGAGTTTCAGGGGCAATTGAACACCGAATTTCCCATTGTATCACAGTTATAGAAACAAATGTACTGTGATAAGCAGGGATTTAGAAATGTGTTCATAATTACAATACTTAATCAAAAAACGCAATCTTGAAAAGCAACAGTATTTAAAGGCAGATAAAGCCCATTGAATTAAAGATGTTGCCCGAGTGCAGTCTGTGCTTTTAGTATAAATTTGTGGGAAAGCCCCCTTTATATTTTAAAAATGTCAAATATGCCTTTTCTCCTAGGCTGAAGGCAAGAAAAATGATAAGCAGTATGTTCTTTGTAGAAGCTGAAGACCGGCAGCACAAAAATGCCTTCTCTGGAATATTAACGAAAAGATGCTCAAATGGAAAATGCGCATAAGTTGCCATGTGGATTAACAGACATCACATTTCAGGAAAATGGAAACACTCTTTTTTAGGAATAACATTATAGATCTCCATGCCCAAAGACTTTCACATACATTACAACAATAACCTTCACAACAGCCCTGCGAGGTAGGGCTATATTACTGCAGACGGGGGACTGACTGAAGCTGAAAAAGGAAGTTGCTACTTACTCACTTTGTGAATGAGCTAATACTTGAATTGGCTATTTGCCAAGTTGCATCCTGGTGTTTAGCAACTGCACTGCACTTTTGTTTCTTCTCTGTTCCTCTTCTCTCACTGACAAAATTATTTTTAAGGGTTTCCTAGCTCCTTAGGAGTGTATTTTGGATGCCCCCCTATGGTGCAGGATATACCAAATATCCCAACTCACACAAGGTAGCTTTTGTCTTCTTTAGCAGAGCCTGACATTAAAAACAGTCCTATTTAAGTGACTGGTCTGGCATCTTGACCTATGACCTTGTGCCTATATAAGCAGTAGGATAAAGTCTCCTAACAATTGTAGTGATGATTAGGTACTTTGTAATGTAGGTCATTTTTCCATGAAAGATCCTTAGATAGCTTTCTGAAGGCCTTGGAAGTTTAAACATCCTCTTCTGCATTAACACATACAAGTTCTCGAAAGAGGAAAATGACTTTCAGACTCATAATCTCAGCCTGTTGAGTGTTCAGCTCATATTCTTGGAAAGCAAGCAGAATGATCAGCTCATTTGCAGAAGATGCTTTTCTCTCCAAGTTGGACAGCATTTTGGGCATCCCACAGTAGCTGTGGGGGATCTTCAGGTATGGACTCTTACAGGTCTTCCAAAGGCAAACTGAGACACTGTATGCCCAACTAAGCCTGTGCTGGAAGCCTCACATCGCCACTTTGCCATGGGAACAGTGTGATTTAGACTGATTGCCAGGACAAGCCTTTATCTGCAAGCTCACAGTCAGCAATGGACTTGGTGGCAGATGCTGACTTTCCCCAACACTGACCTTGTGAATAGCCACACTGATACATACATATATGCATACTTGCATATCTAGAGAGATAGAGGGAAGGGTAGCTGCAAATAAAACCATTAGCAAGTAGCCCACTACAGGGCTGGCCTTCCGCCACTGCACCAAAACTATAGCGAACAGATTGATTAATAAATAAAAGTAGACATTCCTATTACTAGCTGAAGATGTTTAATAGATGCATTTGAGGAAGTGGACATGAGTCCACAAAAGCTGATGCCATGATAAGCTTGGTGGTCTTTAAGATGTTACACGACTCTGTGATTTTGCTGCAGTAGCTAATATGGTTACCCCACTGGAAGCCAAGAGAGAAGTATCATAAGCTATTGAGGTGCACAGTATCTTTATTTATTTTATTTATTTATCTTGCCCCTTTTCCTTTCTTTTTTTAAAGAATGCAATGCAGCTTGCATCATTCTGCTCCTTCTGCTCTCAATGTTATCCCCACAACAACTAACCTTTGATGTAGGTTGGCCTGAGAGTCTGTGAATGGCCCCAAGTCACCCAGCTGGCTCCATGGATGACTGGGGCTAGAATTCAGATCTCCTGGGTCCCAGTCTCAGTATCACACTTGTCCACACTGAGGACCACATTGGATGTCTTTGAGGGTGCCAGGGCCTACACATCTGCACACATGGGAACATACATGCCCAATACACATACACTGTACTCATTCACACATTCAGTTATGCATGAGTACACTAGTTCATGTTCTTACATGCATCCCCCCATACACACACACACACACACACACACACACAGACCTTTTCCCAAGTCCCAAGAAAGGGTCTTCCATCACTAGTACTAAAGGAAAATAAAATCCTTTAACTCCAGTTGGAGAGACTGGAGATTAGAAAGAGGTTTCCCAATAGCTTGCAGAGGAAACCCTAGGTTTTCTCAGAGCAGCTGTAGCACTATTAAAATCTATGTGCGGTCCCCAGGCTTCACAAGCCTCACTTGTCCACAGGTTGTGGATCCTGCTATCCATCCATCCATCCATCCATCCATGGAAAAGCAGAACTTAGGAGGTGAAGGTGAGGGTGCAGGGGTGTCAAACTGCAGACTGGGGCCAAGCTGACTTGCCTCTTTGCTTATGGTTGCTACATGAAACTCCCTTGATGCTCATGCTGTTTATGCAAACTTCTGATCATTAGGTGAACCTATTTATGTGAATTTCCATTCAGGAGGGAATGCAGAGGAGAAAAGAGTCTCGCTTTTGGCTCCCATTACAGACTGAAGCATGAGTGGCTTTAAGTTTCAGATATGAAAACACCTGATAAATGAGAGAGCAGACAATCCCTTTGGCATTGGCTCTGCTCCGAAGTAACAAGAAGGCGATGCTCGGAACTGTATAGATTATTGCAAGAGCTAAAGGTCTGGATATATGACTTTATGGATATTTGCTTTATTATCCGTGTGGGGTTTTGTGGACAAAGAAGGAAGGCAGGGAAATGTCTGTCAGGACAAGCAGCTCAATGTTTTACTTCCTGCTTGTGGATTTAAGTCTTATATGTGAGCTGTCTGCAATATTAACAGACGGGTTTGCTTTTAATAATATAATAATAATTCAGTTTGCTTACATTGACAGGCCTATAATCCTGCAGGCACAGGCATAGGTGCTTTTCAGACTAGGTAAAATAAATAGCATAGGACACCTTGTGCCCTTAGATCACCATGTGTTGGAAGGGGGTATGCTGTTATGCCTACTACCTGTGCAGTTGTAATGCATTCAACAGGGATCTCGCATAAATAAATACACAAATTCCCCCAGTGAGTTGCACTAAAGTCTTAGAAGGAAAATGAAAACAATCTTTCAGCAGGTGTCTACAAAATTTGGTATTAACGTTCAAAAGTCCCTGTGATTTTGCCTTATAATGGCAGAGAAGCAGGAACATTCTGTTTCTACTCTAAAACCCATGTGTGCCATTTCAGGGTCCCCATATTCCAGCATGCATCTTGTGGAGCTTGGATATAATCATGGGGATGATTAAGAATAATTCATTACAGTCATATATGAAGAGGCGCCTTCCTATGTTGGGAAGCCTGGGGTGTACCTTGCACAAGTAGCTTTACATAACAAGAACTGCACACAGCATATAGTATTCTAGGGAATAAACCTTTGCTTGATCCAGTTTAGAAGTTCAAATGAACCTCGGCAAGAAAGGTTATCTAACACGGCTTACCTACGGGCACCACTAACGCTGGGGCTGTGCAATGGGCAATGGCATGAGATGTGGTTATTTGGCTTTCATTGGAGAGAGCACTTGTTGCTTGGTGCTGAGGCAAAGAGGCAAAGAAGAAAGGAGGATGTAAGAGAAAGGAACCAGCCAAGCTACAGGACACCAAGAGAGACAAGAAGGACAAGCAACTCTTGATGCAACACACTCTCCAACATCCTGGAGTGTCTGGAAGCGTGCAGAGCCGTTCCTTAATCCAACATGATCTTATTATCCTCCATCCTGCCTGTGCTAGAGTCCACAAATCCAAAGGGGTTTTTTTCCACAGACCCTTGTGAATATTTTTGGTTAATGGTTTGGTGAATATATTCACAGTCTTGTCTGATGTGGGACAATAGAATCACTTAACCCCTGTTGTTGTAGATCTTCTATTATATAATGTTCCACATAGACAGGTTGGGTGTGTGCCCTGCTTTTTTTCTGAGAGGATGAGTCTTATGCAACCTTGGCTGTTCTCATAAATCTGTGTAGGTATGGGATCATCAGCTTCCAAGTATTCAAGTAGGAGCTTCAGCCATCAAAATTGTCTGTGCGCTAATTTGTCAGCTGTACTTTGGTAGGTTCTTCCTGGACTAATGCTATCAGGGCATATTATAAACATGTCTAGAGTAACTATTTTTCTCCCTCCATTGCCTTTGTTATGTTTTTATTAGCCCGATTTTCCTGCCTAACACCTTAATGTTAGCTATCTATTGTAATGAGAACAAATGGAAGCTTCACAGTACCTTTTAATAAATGCCAACAGAAAATGTTTTAATAAAGATCTCTATCAGAACATAGCAATTCTCAGACTAGACACAGGCGCCTCTTTAATTTTGACCTTGTTTGGAACACAATAGATGCAAGTGATATTCTTTAATGAACATCAAAGTACTTTCCAAGGAACAATGACATAAGTGGCAGTAAAAGTACAGATAAAAAAGCACAGCTATTTTTTTTAAGGAGGGGTTCAATTATGAATATTTAGATGATCAGGGAGAAATGTACAGGAGAACTAATTTGGAATGCAATGATTTGGGCACATTCTGTGCTGCACAGACATATTTGTGTTAAGAACGTATCAAGAGGCATAGAACCATAGCATAAATAACACTGCTGCACCAAGTGTCTTGATAGGCAGGTTACAGACAACAGAGAAGCAGAGATAAGGAAGGAATTGGAAAAATTCTGCCTAAGGACAGACTGCACATGATTGAAAAAGCACTGCTAAAAATCTTCAGAGGTAATCCTGGTCAGCTAACCTAGGTCCTCATAAAAGGTTTTGGCTGATTTAGGGCAATCTCATGTCACCCTCCGTCTTTCTATAACTAATTATATTGTATGACTCCTATCATTGAAATATGTGGTACAGTCCTCTCAAAGAGTGGCAGTTTGCTGTGGACCTGAAGTACTTCCTCTCTGCCAGTGTGGCACCTCTGAGTGAAGGGGAGTGAATTAGCAATGTGCTGGTGGTGTGGCTGGAAGAGATGCATCATCCAGTCAGTAGTGGTGTAGTGACAAAACTGTGAGGTGCAGGTGCTCATCAGGAGAGTTCCCAAAGCCACACTCTCCAAGGAAAGTCCAAAAATTCAGGCAGTTGGGCTGATTCAAACCAAGAACATCAGTTCATGCCATTTTCATCCCTACCAGCAGGTTTTCTGCACACCGGAGAGGTCCTGCCAACCTTGCAGTTCAAAAGCATGCAAATGCAAGTAGATAAAAAGTTAGCACAGGTAACAGCGTTCCATGCACTTCGGCCACATGACCACGGAGACTGTGGACAAACGCTGGCTCCCTTGGCTAGGAAACAGAGATGATCACCCTCCCCTAGAGTCAGGCATGACTGGATGTAACGTCAAGGGGAAACCTTTCCCTTTACCTTTAAGAGGTCTAATTGCCCATTCAAGCCAAGCCACCCCAACATATTTTGTATTAGAAGGGGACAATATACCGTGGCCGGGGATATTCATTTTCCCTCGGCTAGTATCAGGATTTCTGCTAAGCTCATAGGGAATCCTGAGCAGCAATTAGGCAATTGGTCAAGAATTCCAGTGCTGCCTCCCTGGGAATCCCAGCTCCATGGCTCCACGGAAAGTCAATGTGTGCCAATGTGGTGCCCTCTAGAGGTTTTTGAACTAGAACTTCCAGCAGTCTAAGTCAGCTTGGTTCATGGTGAGGGGTGCTGGGAATTGCAGTACAAAACATCCAAGCTGCAGTTAAATGAAGTGATTCCTCCATTCACTTCCATAGGTGGGGAGGAAAGTCCCCTTGGCTGGAGATGTGGTGAAATGCATCCAACCACCACCACCACCACGACCTTTGAATTTTCAGCAGAAGGTTTTGCTCCCTATGCAAACCTATTGACTTTGCAAAACAAGATATCAAATAAGGTCCAATGCAATCTATTCTACTGAACCAGCACTGTGGGTCTTCCTATTGAGAATAATGTATTTATTATTTATAATAATAAATGTATTATTTATTTATTGAACAGTATTTATGAAGGGCCCACATTTAACACATTTCTCAGTGAGTATTGAACAAGTCTTTGCCCAGAGCAGGAGACCATGTTTTTGGGGATGTGTACTGGGAAAGGTATGCTTTCTGTAGGTGCTGGAAATCTGGAAAAGTTGTTTGACTAATTGGTGATGGGTGGAAGTTCCAGAGAGTGGATGCTATGACACTAAAGGCCTTATTCTGAGCTAGGAGGGACCAGACCTCTGAAATCTTGAGCATCACCAGGAAGGGATCTTCCAGTGGGTGCAGCACCAGGCAGGACAGTAGGTGATCTCTTAAGTATCCTGATCCTGAGTTGTTTATGGCATTGCAAACAAGTACCAAAACCTTAAACCTGACCAGAAGAATACAGGAACCAGTGCGGTTTCCTCAGTATAGGTCTAATAAACTGGTGATAAGCCAGTGCGGTTCCCAACCTTGTTGTGGGTTGGTGCAGTGAACTGCAGCTTCTGGACCTCAAGCCTAGCCCCACATACAGTAAACTTCAATCATCCAGTTTGGAGATTGCCAGTGCAGGCAGCACAGTGGTCAGAAAGGGCCATAAACAACTGTCCTTCCCAGTCTCTGACAATGCCTGTGTGTCCAGTGACAGCCCTGGAGTGGTACCATCTCACAGGACAGGATCCTGTCCTTAGTACAACAGGTCATATGCTGGAGTTTCTGTGAAATACAGATGTGCCTGTGAAATACTGAATAATCATGTCATCTTCAGAAAATACTCCTGCAAGGTCAACTGGGGAGACGTTGTCCTGTCCTGTAGCCAGCATTAAGCACCACGTGTGAGTGAGCTGCACATCATGACCTTTTCTCCCTCTGAAGCAGTGAACATTCTTTCCACCAGTCTGGTACGTGTGACTGCATGGTTAAGTTTGTGACAGCCCAAGAACATCAAGTGGGTGTGAGTGACTAACGATAGCTTGTCTTCGGGCTCTGATTTGAGTGAGTCCTGCTTTCACAACCATGTGCCTACCCAGGAAGTGCTCCTGATGCAGCACTGTGCTGGGAGGCTGTGCTTCCCCAGTCTTTGCCATCCATTACCAGGAGCTCCTGCCTTGGGGCTTGCACACCAGGTGAAGTGCAGGCAAGAAGACTTCTGGTTGTGCCCCTGCTGCTGTTCACACTGTAAGTCAGCCCTGCTTAACCAGGTGGCTTCCAGGAGTTTTGGATTGCTAGTGATCAGGAATCCCAAGGACTGTAGCCCAGAAAAGCTGGTGGGTACTTGACTGGAGAAGGCTGCTGTTGAGGAGGAGAAGGAACCCTTCTCTTGCTTAATGTGATCATTAAAGTATGATCTTCAATACACTTACTCAGAAGTAAGACCCACTGAGTTTACTGAGGCTTACACCTAGGCGGGGAAAATTGTGTAAGACTGCAGCCTGCAGCTCGTAATAACGAGCAGATAGGGGACTATATGGGATGCCAGACATAAAATCTCCAGAGACCAAACTGAGTACCTGAGCTGTACGTCGCCTATCCCTGAATGTTATTTTCCTCCCCACTCTTCTGTTTGCAGTAATCAAGCATGCATTCACGATAAAAAAAAGTCAATGATGAAGTGTTAGTGGGGATTGGCTGAGATGAACTTTTTGATTTGGTTACATGTACTTTTGAATAAGGGAAATAATTTTTAAAGGTAATAGTACACTTGCTTGACATTCCAATTGGCAATCATTCACTTTTCACTCGGTGCCTCTACACTTGAAAAAAGACAGGCGATTCTAGCTTGTTCCCGAGAAATTAGATGGCATAAGGTCTTAGATAGTTTTCATCTACGGAGTGAGAGTTGTCACAGACTATGAGGCACATTGGCAATATCCTCTCATAAGTGTGGCCAGATGGCAAGTGTGTGCAAAGAGAGTTAATGAGCCTTAGTGACTTGTAAAAAAAAGTTTGCGTATTCTGCCAGGAACTTCCTTGAATAATATGTGGATCATGCAGACAAAATGTCATTTTTCCACTGCAAAGCATTCAATGATATACTTGGCTTTCTCTTATTAACATTTACATATTGCCTCATTTATTTCCTTACTCAGGTTTTGTTAATTGCACCCACCTGATTTACTTGCAAACAAACCTCATTTGGACATGCAGCTCATCACAGCCGTATGATAGCGAGCATCCCGTCATTGTCTCCTATTTAGACTTTACAGTGATCTAAATGAGCAGCCTTCCAAAAGTGACAATAAAGTAGGCGCCCACTGCCCATGTGAGCAGCTCTTGTCTTTTGCTCTGCTCCACTCGGGACTGAATATTATGTCACCTGCACTTCAGATGGAGAATCTGGGAACCCGAAAGGGATAGCAACAGTCTAACCGGGCAGAGGATCTGACCAAACGCTCCTCCGCTGGAAAGTATTTGAGATGCCTTCTCTGTGTGGTGTAGTAATGGTGAATGCATCTGTTCTGGAGCTAACAGGTGAGGGATTGAATTTCAACCACAGAGGGCCTCCTTCAAATAGAGCATTAGGTCACTACTTTCCCAGAAGGCACTGCTCACACCTGTGAGTGCTGCTGGGTGAGCAAAAGTTGTTAATCACCCATGTAGCAACTGGCAACAACATGAGATATTTTTGTATCACTTAGTCAACTCTGCTAGTGTTGGGGGTGTGTGAATACAGCAGAAGAGCAGCACTTGGCTTATTTGAATGTAGGGTACTAATGTTAGATATGCTGTACCCAAAAACAACCCCACATCGCACACATGTAAATGTAATTAATAACTGGGGTTGCTAACAGCACACTGTTGATCATAGTAACAACAGAAATGCACACCATCAACAAGCAAATAGAGTGGCGATGATGGGAATGATTCTTTTAAGGACATGCTTCTCAGCATTTGCTCTGAGATTAGGTCCCACATGATGGGGGTTGCACCGGATTGCCATTGGGATTACAGCTGATTCAGGTTAATGTGGAGGTATGTTCAAGTGAACCACCGACTCCACATGGGTGATGTATACTCAGCAGTCCTCTAAACTGATGCTAGGTGCTTTAATTTCAAGTGCATGGATACACAAGGTTACTCAAAAGTATTATGAAATGCCAAAAGCAAATGATGCATAAATTCTGGTATAGATGCTGTGCTGTCTATCTGATTGTATGACTGTACTGATCCTAGCTCAGTGCTCTGACCCAAAGACAGTGTCTAGAGGGCCATAGCGTTCTGAGAGTCCCAGCTTGGATGCTGGGAAGTAGCTCAGATAGTGTGGCTAGGACTCTGCACTCACACAGCTGAGGTCACACGCTGATGATCTTGCCTCAGTGGGTATTCTGATGGTCTAGGAGAGTGGAAGATGGGGCCTTCCAGGAGACCATGTATGCTCACAGTGCTTTGGGTTCCTTTGCTCTCCCTCTGAAGCACCACGTGTAGGCAGCCAAATCAGCTGGTGAGGTGAGCTGACCTTTACCTCCATGCTCTTCACACTCAGCATAGGGTGTCCATGACGGTCTGAGTTTGTAGGGTTATGGGCAACCCTATAGGATGACACCTTACACCAGCAATAACACATTGCAAAAAGTGTGAACAAGGCAGGATCTATGAATGTCTTTCCATGAATGGGATTGATTGAATAAATTCTGAAGAACTCAAAGGTGGCTTGAAGATGCACACTCACTGATGGCTTTGAAGTTCAATTCTTCTCTTGCTCCTAGATGGAAGACTTTCCACATCAGGGGTGCAAAACCTAAAGCCTGGTTCTCAATCTGATCCTCAGAAGGCCACACCTTGTTCCCTAGCAGAAAATGACAATCTTTGATGGCTGTTGTCAGCAAACCAGCCCCAAACAGGGTAGTGTCTGTACAGAAGCATGGCAGAATATCTGGCCTTGGGGGCAAATCTGGCCTTCCTCCCAACTCCCAATGAGGCCCTTCTGGGATTCCCAGGTATATTTGGTGGTTTTGATGCTTTGGTGCAATTTCATCCCCTATTTTAAAAGATTAATTGCATCTTCTAAGGCTTTATTATTGGCACTAAGAACTTTAACAGTTGCTAGTACTTTGAGTTCATTGGCCCTTTTGCCTTCAGCTCAGCACCATGGGATGCAACTTCTGAGACCTACTCTGAATGGAAGCTTCTCTGATGGTCAGGCCTAAAAAGGGTTGCACCAAATTGCACTGAATGCACAGTTGTGCATTTTCCACAACTGAAATCCATCTAGGAGCTCAGTCCACTTACACCCATTTTGGAAAGGTAATTCTCAATCATCACAGTTTTTAAACCTCACAGGCACTGCATAGCTGTGTTAAGACACCTAAACAATGCAAGTCACTGCAGCATTAAGTGCCTTCCAAACTACCCAGCAAAAATTGTATATCACTAGCATCTATTGTTAATTTTGAAGTGCATCCTGCTATCTTGTCTTTAATAATTTAACCAAGACCTTGTAAGACTCATCTTCATCCATATATCTAAAACTAATTTTAAAAGAGGAAATGAATTTGAAAGATTTCTAAGCAGTTGCCTCCACTGTTGTTTGGCTCAACATGCAATTCCCTTTTCTGGAATCCTGTACAAGTGGATTGCTTTTTTAATTCACTTGTCACCATAGTACAAACCCGAAGTTCACTTAACATACCACAAATATATCTCTTTCCCATATCAGAGGGTAAGGACTGTGTGTCATTGCTGAATGCAGCTCAACAGTCGCACCGACCAAAAAAGGAAGCTAAAGTGGAATCGCTGTGCCAGCTACAGAGCACTTCTAATTCAAGTGCCTCTGTAAGGAATTTCAGAACACACAGGATGGGTCCCCCAACACAGATGAACTCAGATGTCTTTGATTTGCCCCTTCAACTATATTTTCTCTGTAAACAGAAACTCTATCACAGCTAAGCCTGAGTCAGCAGCTGGAGTAGAACAAGGCCCGGGCTGAAGGTTTTAATTTGTAACCTGAGGTCTTTTGAGATCGCAAGGATAATTACCACATGGATCAATGATGAGAGAAGCCCCTTCAAAAATACACTCGTGAACTATCTCACACATGTGCCTCACGTATCTGTTCAGTCTTCCCTTTTTCCGTCATTGGAAAAGACCTTGCCCCAGTTCCTCTGTTGTTGCCACTGATTGCACTTTTTCACGGCATGGATCTTTTCAAATTTTTCTGTACCTTGTTTCTTGATCATTGATTCCAGGGTGGTTTGCTACTAATAAAGTGCAACAGGTAAAAAAATAACTAGTCTAATATAAAGCAATAGTTAACATCCTCAGGAGGCAGACATGAAAAGAGTACTTAAAATAATTGAAAGGCCTTCCTATGGAACACTTTTGGACTGCAATCCCGTGCTCACTGACCTGGAAGTCAGTCCTATGGAACTCAGTGGGCTTGGCTTACACTAGGCACACATAGGAATGCTAAAGTCATCTGACACTAAAAGACAGCCATGTCTGGATAACAGGAGCATCCGAAGGATCTCATCAATGGATGGTGGCAGAGGACATGCAAGAGGATATGGGAGCACTCAGGGTTGCTTTAAGTTTTTGGGCCCTGGGGCATGCAGGCAAATAAACAACAGCCAATGGAACTCTTTCAATAATGCAAAATATGTTCCTAGAGGGTTACAAATAAACCCAGCAAGTTATGTTTAGCTGCCATACATGGTCATATGCAAACATTTAATGTAAAAAGTCAATCAGGCAAAGCTAACCTTTGCATATTGTCTTCAGTCTTCAGTTTGTAAAAGGGCTTTTCATGCAGCATCACATGTAGCTTTTTAGAGTTATTGTGTCTCTTTATAATATAAGGTTGCTATATATTTTTTTCATTCCCATTTTCTTTCTTTCTTTCTTTCTTTCTTTCTTTCTTTCTTTCTTTCTTTCTTTCTTCTTTTTTTCTTTCACTTCTTTCTGTGAAAGGTTCCTAAGGTTCCTAAAAGATGAAATGCAAGCATTTACCAGTTCAAATATACATCAATTTAAAAAAAAATATGGTCAGTAAAGATTTCTTGGACATTAACTGTATTTTCCCCCCTGTTGATTTTAATGACTGGTGATTAAACTACCAAAAAGCTTGTTGTATGCCTACTTAAGATTATGATATTATTGCATCCCATTATACATTATTATCTTAACTATGCTGACAACAAACATATTGGTGGATTAATCACCAGTCATTAGACACAATGGAAAGATTCATTCATTATGATTTTTAATTGCCCAGATTTTTAATTGTTGTATGTCTGTGCTAAGAAAAGGGTTGCTGGTGGTTGCACTGTAGACTTTCAAGAAGGAAGGAGCACACTGAAAGGGCCCCCACTCTCACTGCAGAGGAGTGGTGACCACTTTCTATGGCACCGCCCTGCCCTTTCCTGGCTCCTGTTCTGTTTCTGGGCAGAATTCAAAATTCAGATTGTAGCCTACAGATGCCATGTGGTTTGGGGCCAGGCTCCCTGAAAGACTGACTTCTCCAGGGCTATTTATTCATTTCTCAGAATTATATATCCCACCTTTTTCTGTTAAAGAACTGAAAAGCTTACCTCCTCCCTCTCCTCTCTGTCTTCTCCCCCCCCCGACAACAACCCTGTGAGGTAGGCGGGGCTGAGAGTCTGTGACTGGCCCAAAGTCACCTAGCTGACTCCATGGCTGAGTTGGGACTAGAATCCAGATCGCTTGGGTCCCAGTCCCCTGCTCTTAACCACTACACTGCACTACACCTCACCGTATAATCCTGCTTACAATCCTTAAAGCCCTTCCTTTGAGATGACTGCCTTCAGAAGCAGGTTTGGTGGAAATTCCAGAGACAGCCTTCTCTGTGGTTGCTCCAGGTGGTGAAACTCCTTGCTGAGTGAGGCCAAGTTCTCTCTCTCTCAGCTGACCTTCCATTGGCAGGGAAGAACTTGACCTTCAAGCAGGCATTTACCTCATAAGGAGGTCTGTTGGGCTGGATGCCCTTTTATTCAGCAGTTGTATTTTAGGTTGTGTTTTAATGCATTGATTTTACTGTTATTTCATCACATTTAATTTATGTGACCTGCCTGCCAGGTCCCACAATCGTGATCTCTACCGCTGCTGCGGTTGCCTTTTTCAAGATGTTCGAGAGAAAGTCCAATCAGGGTCAGCATCTTCTCATTCCATTTGATTAGTGAATTTGTGGCCATCTACAAGCCTGACGACCCAATAAGCATCCTTCACTACATGATATTTTATGGGAAGGAGATGTGGGGATTAGAACTTAGAAAACCACCCTTATAACCAGGTAGCATAGTGATCCAGTTCACTCAGCATGATGATTGTAAATCGGAGAGTCTACCTTCTCACTGCCATTGTCACTGGTGGCCATTGCTCCTCATCTTTCTCTTCACTGTCACCGGTGGCTCACTTGACAGGCAGTGAGCCCTGAGGAATAAATAGGCCGTGGCACCCGCTGCTGCTGCTCCTCACCACCGCCATGGTTTGGGCCAAAGTGAGATGCAGGTGGACAACCACATTGCAACGGGACCAGGGATGGGCAGCTCCAGGGGCTTCTGGTCAGTGGTCCCCTGGTGGGACATGAGTCCTTGGCAGCTGCTTCACAAGACCGCCCTTTGATGCTAGCCTGGAGGCTAGCCCCACAGTGGAAGAGAAGGCACTGCGGATGCACTGACGAAGGCCTAGATGGGCAGTATGTCCAATTCCCACCGGCCATCTGGCATCCCACTGTGCACACAAAAGATGAGCCAGAAGTGCACAGCACTGAACCAAGGTGGTGCTGCAGCACGTGTTCCACCTTTCAGTGCAGAAGTAGCTAAAATGGTAGCTCAGGATCAGAGTTTAGGAGGCACCTTCTCTCATACCTTCCTCCTCCCCTACTTGTGGTTTCAAACCTGAGGATAACACCCTTTAAGCAGGCAGGCTTACCAGTGGCTGCCCACTGCAGAATGCGAAATCTTTCTTAATCCAGAAATGTATCAGCTGCCCGTCGGCATCGCTATTCTGAATGCAGCTAACAAACAAATGCAGTAGATTAACCATAAAATCACTCAGCCAAAAAACAGCAGCAGATAAAAATCTAAAGTCTTGGCCACCAACGAGAGACAAAAACACATCAATCAAAGTAGCAGTTTAAAGGAACAAATTAGAGAGCAACATATTAAAAAGAAAATGAAAAAGTCTGGTAGCCAAAAGACACTGGAGTAAAAGCCAGACAACCCGCCCAGGGGAGGGCATTTCACACTGGAGGGGCACAAGGTAAAAGGTCTGTTCTCTTGGCATGACCCACCTTACCTCTGAAAGCTGGCGTATGCCAAGAAACATTTCTCATTATGACCTCAGGGTGTGGAGAGTTCATAGACAGAAGGAGCAGCCTCAGATACAAGAAAGGTGGGGCTTTATAAGTAAGCACCAACTCTATGCACTGTTCCCAGAAACCCGATAGTTGCTAGGGAAGCTGTTTCAGACTGAAATGCATTTCCTTTGGATGCAACTCACTGTCTTACAGTGACCAGTCATGTGAGTAGTCCTCTGGCCCTCTAGGACAGCTTATTTAGGTAACATCTCAACTGACCTAAAAAGACTCTTACACTGGCTGATAGGTTGCTCTAACTAAAGTTTCCAAACAGTCTTTAAGGACAGCACACACAGATCATATCCCAGCAGTCTAGTTAGCAGAACACAGAACAGTTAAGTCAGTCGCCAGCTCCCTTTGCTATCTCTGCTTTGGCAGAGAGAGATTACCTTTTGTTTTTCAAAGGCCTTTTAGCTTAGACTTTTGCCTACATTCCAGTTCTAGCAGAGATTGTCTTATTGCAGCTGTTCTCTTTTAGGCTACTTGCTATAAGTTTCATGAGGGTTCACTCTGATTTTACACATCTTGTAAGTCACCTGGGCTGCTATTGGAAAGCAATTCAGAAATGCAATCAATATTAGATTGAGTGGGCCACCAGTTCTGCATTGCCCCAGGCCTACCAAAACATCTGCTAGCCCTTGCATGCTGCTAAAATAAGCTGCAGCTCACCTCATACAACTTGCCACTTCTATTTAACCTCCCCCTTTTTTGTATTTGTACATATAGATTTTTTTTGGTATGTTATCTTGTTAAAATCTTATCTTCTTAAGCTGCTGCCCTAAACAGTTAGGGGGGAGGGAGCTCAGTCTGGAAATATGTCAAACATAATAAGAAAGATAAAATCATACTGAAAGATGGCTGCTACTTTTGTGGCGATGTAGAATTCAGGGGTTTAGCCTGATTCAGGGGTTTACATGGGCAAACTATCACGTTCTTCACTATCAGTTCAGATTCTGTGCATTGTCAAACAAAAACAACCCAGAAAAATGGTACAGGACTTCAAGAGCAACCCTGAATCTACCCAGAGAGAGAGAGAGAGACATCTGTGTTTTGACTAGAGGAACTTCCAGGACATCTTGTGGTACTCAGCTCTTAATGTGTAAATTGTATGTGAATGTCTGTGGGAAGAATAGCATTGCTTCATGCGTTATGGTGCAGAAAAAATCTTTGTGTGAATTAGTTGCTCACCTGCCTACCCTGATCCTTCTCTCTGGATGTGCCAAAGATTGGACCTTGATCCTTGTACATGCAAAACACATGAACTACCCTGTGTGAAGAAAAGCTCCCGCTGTTTACATAGCACAAGCTTTGCATCCATTTCAGTACTTTAGAACATCTCCTGTGTTGTCTAAAATAGGCTATGAAACATCAGCAATACTTTAGGTTTCAAGGGGCCACGGAATTCTGTAATTTTTCCTGCAGGAGAGAAATGCAGCTATGCTGCTAAAAGTTTACATTTTGCTAAGCATGAAGGGTGGCAGATGCGGGACAGAGTTTCTGATATTCATATTTTGACTGCTTTAGGGCTTGCTGAAGGCTTAAAATATTCATCAAAGTAAGCAATAAAAATGAAGATTTCAGTGTACATCTTGTGAGTGATAATGCTATAGATCTGAATTCTTTTTGAGGTTTTTTTTTAATATTTCCCATCTGCTGAAAGAGAAACCATGAAATTGGTTGGAAAGCCACCTTAGGAAGAATCCTGTTATAGAAAATAGAGACCGCCTCCCTTCTCCTACTCCAAATTGAGTAAAGAGATAGCATGGAAATGCAGCAGTTATACAAGCTGCTGAGCTGTAAGAATAGTTCCTGCCTTTGCCAGGCCCAGTGTCACATGAGAATGTGAAATCTTTCCCATTAAGCACGAGATCCAAAGCTGGATGACTTGGCTTATTGTGTATGAATGAGCTGGTTACAGTCATATTTATTTTTAGGATAATTGTGTGAGATCAGATGCAAGTTATGGGGTCATTTAAGTTGTCGTACTTAAATGACAATTACATTTCGATGTGAATAAACCACTTTCAGCTGGTAGCAAGATGGCTTGAAGATCTGATATTCCTGGATTATATCAGAGTGAGACTATTCATGGTGGTGGTTGTCAGAAAATCAGACAGACTAATGGTGTTACACCAAGGGTGCAAAACCTCACTCCTGGGAGCCTGCCTTTTTCCCTCTTGTGAAGAACCCAAGGCAACTTGCATAGTGCCATTTTATCCGCACAACAGCTTCAACCTTTGAGTGTCCAAAGCCACCCAATGTACTTCATGGCCACATGCAGACTAGAACGTGGCTTTCCCGGGCCCCCAGCCCAGCACTCTCACCACCGCACCACACTGGCTCTCAAAATCTGAAAGTTCACAAAAATATTTTTGAAATCCAAAAGCTGGCAACCCAAGGGCATGTGGCAAGGTGCAGTGAAAGCCAGGAGAGCTGAAAGGCTGACATCTTCTCCCCTCATTGTAATGCATTGTGCCCTGCATTTCACAGATAAAAACAGGGGAAAGTGGGTATGTGTGTTTAGACATAGGAAACTATCCTAAACTCTTTGTCTATCTCAATGAATATTGCCTACTCAGACTGGAAGCAGGTCTCCAGGTATTTAGCAGAGGCCTTTCATACTGCCTCCAACCTTATCTTTTTAACTAGAGATGAAACTGGGAGCTGCTACACACAATCTCACCACTGAGTTATGGCCACTCACACTTTTTGCCTTACGCACTAAACTGACCATAGGCAGAGCATTCCTATGGCCCCTTGACAGTGTCTGAGGGGTCATAGGATTTCTCAGATCTGAAGCCAGGAAAGAGTTCTGCCCTAAGATCCAGGGATGCATGTGTGGATGCCACCTGCCCCCCCATCACTAGATGACATGGAAAGAACCATGTGGGCTGCATCTCTAAGATCTCTTGCGAAGAACCCGAGACAGCTGGCATTGTTCCATTTTTTAGCCACACAAGAGTAGCAACCTTTGAGTGTTCATACAACCTTGGAGAAGTAGTTTATGGGGCTTCCAGGGGGCAGGAAGGGAAGGAGACTGGTGTCACCATGATACAAGGTATTCTTTTGGTATCTCGGGTAGGGTTAGACCAAAACCTACAAGAATCCATCCCTCAAGGATTTGCAGAAGCACTCATGGACCCTTTGGGAATTATAGTCTGCACTTTGCAGGAGGAACCTTTAGGCAGCCTTTTAAGGTGAAGGTTTTCTGCAGTCCTTTGCTGAGACACACAGTCATTTCCCAGATCAGTTAACCAAGTACGCTAGGAGATATTCAGGTTCTTGGTTGCTGCTTGCCTGGATCCGAAAGACTGAGCCCACAGTGAGCTGAACTGGCTTGGCATAACCTGACTTACAGTGACCTTACTGACTTTCACCTAACTGGACCTGACTGACCTTAACCTGGTGGACTTGACCAGAGCTGACTTTCCCTGGCCTGACTGACTCAACCTGATCTAGTTGACTTGATCTAATTTACTTTTTCCAGATCTGTCCGATGTAGCTTGTCCCTTCCCTTGTGGGCTTCAAGTCCTAACAACTAGGGAAGAATCCAATCAACAGACATGTTTTGTTAGGTAAATAGCAACTTTGGGATTAGAACAGCTCTGGAGGGAAACACTTAACCATCCACCTTGGACATGCTGTTGTCCTGTCAAAATCACACACGCACATAATACTGTTTTTCCAACAGGTGGGAAGCATCTGTTGGTGCTAGTGGGGACTTCCTGGGCAGCAGTGAATAGTTTGTGGGTAGGTTGGCCAGGAACACAGCAAACTCAGAGCAGGTGAATGGTTTAAGCCCCCAAGTTATTGGAGAATGTCAGGTCTTTGTTCCATGTACCCCGCTACTCTTTACCTTCCTAATTCTGAGTCCCTTGGTGTGCCTTGTTCCCCGTAATGTGCCAGAAGATCTAAAGCTAATCACCAGAATTTTCTGAAGCAAGAATATAAGTATGTAATCAATCAATCAATTATTTATTTATTGGGTCATTGACCAGCAAATAAAACACATGATCGACATGTTATAAGTATGTGAAATAATGGCAGCTGTTGGCTGTTTTGTGTTGTGAGGATCAAGTATATCACTCTTCAGAGATCTTAGCCCTGCATCCAGCTGTCCACCTCTTCAAATGTCCACATTTAGCATAATGCTCAAGGACCAAGTTTGCCAACCTGGCTTAGCCTATCCCTCAGCTACAGCTGTACTTGGTATTTATTAGTTAATTGGTTAAGTGCATAAGTGTAAAGCTGTCAGGGTAGCATGCAAGATTAGAAGAGCTGAAGAACAAATAAAATTCCAGTGCAGACTAAAATCAGTGAGGAGTGATTCATAACAAGTGATGAATATCCAACAGAGCCATAAAACAATTAAAAATGCCTACAAATCTTACTGAAATGCCTGGGCAAAGAAAAGTCTTTTCCTTGTGCTAAAAATACATCTAGATGAACAGTGTCTGGCAAGCTTTTCTAGGGAGAACTAGCCATATATGGTGCAACATCAGATATCCAAGAAAGCCTTTCTGCAGTCACTAACTACTTGACTTTAGATGGAGGACAGATCTGAGGAAGAAACTCTAAGGAAAATATACAACTAGGGTGCAGTCCTATGCATGGTTAGACAGAAAAAAAGACCTACAGCTCCCATTGTTGGTGGCAGCTCTTCAGGTACCTAAGAGTCCAGCAGCTTTAGAGCTTGAAAGAGGACTACCAACCTAGAAATGAATGCATAAACAGTGTAGCCATTTAAGTGCTACTGAGATCCATTTATTCTTTCTAGAGATTTTTTACTAGTTTGTCTTAAAAAAAGAGTTTACCAACATCCATAGGGTTCTCCAAATTCCATGCAAAAAGAACTTGAGATTAAAAGAAACTGTATTTGCAGGAAACTGGCACTGTTGCATTCGTCCTTATGGGTCCATGGCTTTTTGCTCTTTAAAAGCCTGGGTATGATTCCCAGAATATACAGCCATGTCAGTGCTAAATTTGGGTGACCACTCCCCCCCCCGCCCCCACAACAACCTTCTAATCTTTATCCGTTATATAGCAGCCTGGTATAATTGGCTTCTTCATGCTGGATATAACTGTACCTGTTTTAGTGCTGTTGATGAGAATTTCATTTCAGAGTTTTGATAAGAGTTTGCCAAAATTCATGAAGTTCTCCATCTTTGACAGCAGGAGGATCTGAGATTTTAAAAATGCAAATGTAGGAGAGAGCAAATTGGACAAATTTGCCCATGACAAAGGGGCATTTTCCAGGACATTTCCTTCACGACGACCTCTAAGGCACATGGAAGCATCATGCTTTTGAGTGACTCAAGAGCTCTTTCTTGGTTTTTTTATTTATTTTTATTTATTTATTTATTTATTAAAACATTTTTATGCCGCCCCATTCGCCGAAGCCTCGGGGCGGCTTACAACAAAAAATTAAGGTTTTGCCTTTCTCTGCTGGGAATGAG